AAGAATGTCCACCTCAGGTGATTGGGGAGGCTGAGCCACTGGGCCCTACAAGTCACCTACCACACAAAGCCACTCCATCAACACAGGGAAACAGTCAAAATGCGGAGACAAACATGTCATGGATGAAAGAAACAGAGGAAAGCAAACTACAGAATATAGAGTTCAAAACCACAGTTATAAGATTACTGATGAATCTTCTAGAAACTGCTGAGAAACTTAGTAAAACCTAGGAGGAACTTAGTGAGACCTTCAAGGATCTTTTTTTTCCTTTTTTTAAAAATATATTTTATTGACTTTTTACAGAGAGGAAGGGAGAGGGATAGAGAACTAGAAACATTGATGAGAGAGAGACATCAATCAGCTGCCTCCTGCAAACCCCCCACTGGGGATGTGCCCGCAACCAATGTACATGCCCTTGACCAGAATTGAACCTGGGACCTTTCAGTCCGCAGGCCGATGCTCTATCCACTAAGCCAAACCAGTTTTGGTCCTTCAAGGATCTTAATGAGAATGTCAAAAAAAATAGAAAAGGACCAGTAAGAAATTAAGCATACACTGTCTGAAATAAAGAATAATATACAGAAATCCAACAGTAGACTAGAGCACATGTGTCAAACACAAGGCCCTCGGGCCAAATCTGTCCCGCCAGGCCTTGCAATGTGGCCCGCACCGCGCTGTCATCACTGCACTCCGCTGCGTTTCCATCACAATGACAGTTTATGACTGTTCAGTAAACCATTCGGCCCGCGATTTAGGCTGGATTTTAGATTTTGGCCCCTTCTCTGATTGAGTTCGACACCCCTAGACTAGAGGACCCCAAGAATCAAACCAAAGATTTGAAATATGAGGAAGCAAAAAACACTCAACCAGAAAAACAAAAAGAAAAAAGAATCCAAAAATATGATGATAGTGTAAGGAGCCTCTGGAACAACTTCAAGTGTACCAACAACCGAATTATGGGGGTGCCAGAAGAAGAGAGAGCAAAATATTGAAAACTTATTAGAAGAAATAATGACAGAAAACTTTCTCTACCTGGTGACAGAAATAGACTTACAAGTCCTGGAAGCGCACAGAACCCCAAACAAAAGGAATCCAAAGAGAACCACACCAAGACACATCATAATTAAAATGCCAAGGCCAAAAGACAAAGAGAGAATCTTGAAAGCAGCAAGAGAAAAACTGTTATCTACAAGGGAGTACCCACACAACTGTCAGCTGATTTCTCAATATAAACTATGCAGAACCGAAAGGGAGTGGCAAGAAATATTCAAAGTGATGAAAACAAGAACCTACAATCAAGATTACTCTACCCTGCAAAGCAATCATTTAGAATTGAGGTCAGATTAAGAGCTTCACAGACAAGAAAAAGCTAAAGGAATTCATCACCACGAATCCATGATTATATGAAATGCTGAAGGGTATTCTTTAAGAAGAGGAAGAAGAAAAAGGTAAAGATAAAAATTATGAACAACAAAGTGACAACAAATACATATCTATCAACAAGTGAATCTAAAAATCAAGTGAATAAAAAATCTGATGAACAAAATAAATTGATGAATATAATAGAATCAGGAGCATAGAAAGGGAGTGGACTGACAATTTTCGGGGGAAAGGGGGCGTGAGGGGTGAGGGAAGTGATTGGACAAAAATCTTACACCTATGGATGAGGACAGTGGCGGGTGAAAGTGTTGGGGGCGGGGTGGGAAAATCAGGTGGAGGGGAGCTATGGGGGGGAAAAGGGAAAATCTATAATAATCTGAACAATAAAGATTTACTTAAAAAAAAAAAAAAGTAAATGGTTCATAAATACTAGTTGAAATGCTCTGTTTGTTGTCAGAAGAAAGGGAATTACCTTTAAAAATAGTTCCTAAGAGATTAAGAAGTCTGATCTCCTCCGACTCCTTTGGATCCATATGACTGAAGGGTTCAGACTCCTGGAAGTGACCCATGGCTTCTCGAGTGACAATGATGGCCTGCCTAAAACAACATCAACCTGTCACCAACTTAGCACCCATAAAGGCATCACTGTTGTCTTTTGAAAATAAAAAAAGTATAATTGACATACAAGAGTGTCACTGTAGACTTAAGGAAGCCTACCTGATAATCCCATCAAATACCTAGACCTACTGTCCCAAGGAAAAGGAACATTTCTCACACTTAAGCACATAAAAAGGGATAGAGCTCAAACACTTCTTATTTCTGAAGTGATAAGGCTTAACTAGTCTTCAAAACTCTCAAATAAGGCCTTTAAAATTTTAAAATAACAACTCTATACCAAACATCTGCTTAAAAATTTGCCAAGAGAAAATTTGGAAAAAATAAACTTTCAGTATAATGAGATTATATACCTAGCCACATTCTATTAATATTTAGCCCTTTTTGGACAGTCTAATTAGGTAATAAGTAAATAAGTAAGTAAGTAAATAAAAAACCGTGACCAAGGTTTAAGAATACCTGATGACATCTTTTTTTTTTTTTTTTTTTTAAATATTTTTATTGAGTTTTTACAGAGAGGAAGGGAGAGAGTTAGAGAGCCAGAAACGTCGATGAAAGAGAAACATTGACCAGCTGCCTCTTGCACACCCACCACCGGGGATGTGCCCGCAACCAATGCACATGCCCTTGACCAGAATCGAACCCGGGACCCCTCAGTCTGCAGGCCGACGCTCTACCACTGAGCCAAACCGGTTTTGGCCTGATGACATCTTTAAGATCTGTTTTTGCCAAGCTGCTCTAAAGTTCTTGAAACACAAAAACTCTGGGTGAAACCTTTTTTTTAAGATCAGGATTCACAGTAGGTTGATTTAAAGATTAAGGCAGAGCCAAAACTGGTTTGGCTCAGCGGATAGAGCATCGGCCTGTGGAATGAAAGGTCACAGGTTCGATTCTGATCAAGGGCATGTAGCTTGTTTGCGGGCACATCCCCAGTAGGGTTTTTTTTTTTTTGTTTGTTTTTTTTTAATATTTTTATTCATTTTTTACAGAGAGGAAGGGAGAGAGATAGGAGATAGAGAGCTAGAAACGTCGATGAGAGAGAAACATCAACCAGCTGCCTCCTGCACACCCCCTACTGGGGATGTGCCCGCAACCCAGGTACATGCCCTTGACCGGAATCGAACCTGGGACCCTTCAGTCCACAGACCGATGCTCTACCACTGAGCCAAACGGGTTTCGGCCCCAGTAGGGGTTGTGCAAGAGGCAGCTGATCAATGTTTCTCTCTCATCGATGTTTCCAACTCTATCCCTCTCTTTCTCTCTGTAAGAAATCAATAAAATATATTAAAAAAATAAAAAATTAAAGATTAAGGTAGGATTGCCTTGGCCAGTGTGGCTCTGCTGGTTTGAGCACTGCCCATGCACCTAAGGGTGCCTGGGTCGATGCTCAGGGCACTTGCCCAGGTTGTGGTCTCTGTTGGAAGTAGCAGATGGATGTTTCCCTCTTGGTCAGGGCACATATTTATATTTACAGGTTTTCTCTTCAAAGAGGGACTTTTACTATCTTTAATATAATGCTATTTATATTTAGTTATTTTAGTATTTTCTCTTAAGCATTTGCAAAAGGTGAAAAGCAGCCCTAGTCAGTTTGGCTCACTGCATAGAGCGTCAGTCTGCGGACCCAAGGGTCCTGGGTTCGATTCCGGTCAAGGGCAGGCACATAGCTCAGTTGCAGGCTCCTCCCGGGGGCAACAAATGGATGTTGTTCTCTCACACTGATATTTCTGTCTATCTTTCCCCTTCTCTTCTACTCTCCCTAAAAATCAGTAGAAAAATATCCTCGGTGAGGATTAAAAAAAAGTCAAAAAGCATGCTTAATTGTGGACTATATACGTTTGGCATCAATCTCATGTTCAGACCACTACTACAATGAAAACATGTAACATCACCTGGTGACAGCATACTCTAAATACAGTTCATTTTAAAGAAACATTGTTTCTCAAAGTTTAAACACTAAGCCTAAACAGGCCATTAGAGAATATCTCATTCTTTCACATACTTGTAACTAGCTTTGGCAAGTAACTGATGGATGCGTCCTTTCACCTCTTCTGTGGTCTCCGTAGTAATTTTTTCAGGAATCTCCTCTTCTTCCTGGGGAAGTGTGAGCAGCTGTTGTAAGGTAGACTTCAACTCTGGCAGCATGGCTTCCCACTCCTCCTCTGGGTCCAGTACTGCGGCTGAATGAGGAAGTATCACTTAGACTCTCTCACTGGTGTTTCTGCCGCAGGGAGGGCTGTTTGGGGTGGGATTCCTAGGCATTAACTACTCACAAGCAACTGCAGTTTGCCTCTGGGCCCTCAGCTCTTGTAACTTCTGGGTTTCCTTCTGCAGCGGTCCAGCAAGGTCAGAATCACTAAGCTATCAAGGTAAAATGAGCATCAGGGTCACCAAGTCACAGATTTTCACCCCTTGTTTCCTTTAATCCCTTCTCTTGCGGATGGCCCACGTCTACTTACCTTGCAGGAAAAGGGATTATTGGTGAGAAAACTGGCCAGCAGCTGGATAGCGTTTTTACACACTAGCACCGACTTGTCTGCCAGACGGCCCACTGCCAAGGCCACCACTGCCTGGAAGCGTGTCAGGGGGAGAGCCTAAGTGGGATACAAAAAGGATCAGTTCACATCCACATCGTCCTTCTGCTCTAGATGATCTTGAAATAACTCTAAATGAGCTACCTATTCATTCCAAAGAAACTTTTCTGTGGGATACAAAATAATTAAGGAGCACTCTTTTAGTGGTTAAGACACAGTACAGTCCTTAAGTGGAGCCAGACATCCTTGCGTTTGATAGATGAAGACCTTTATTACTGGTAACCATCTGAATTCTAGACTCTTGTTTGGGACAGATTTTTTTTTGACATCGATCCCTCTTTTCTCTGGCCGATATAGAGTGGTACCATATATATCTTTATTAGGTAGAAGGCTGTTCACCTTCTGCTGGACGATTCGGGTGAAGAGTTGCAAAACACGGCTTCGTACAAAGGAATTGACATCATGGCCATGGGCTTGCAGGGTGTCCAAGAACTGGTCTCTGGTGTCTCGGGCTGCTTCCTCCAGCTGATCACCATTCAGAACCTGCAGTATCATCTCTGCCATGGCTGCGAGCACAGCATTGCGCATCATGTAATTCTGAGAGAGAAATAAAGTTGGTATAAGCCTCTGTATTCCACTACTCACTTTCCCTTTCCTAATTCTTATGCCTGTCTAGGCACTAAGAAGGGGCAAGGCCTTTAGTCAAGGTTATTCTTGCTTGTCTTAGCTATAACTTTCCCTGGAAAAAGCTAAATCCCAGAGGGACTTTATTTGCTCAGAGAAGAATGTAGAGACAAAATAAACAAGAGCCAAAAACCATTTCCCCCCTAAGGTTCATCCAGGTAATCATGGTGGTAGCCAAATATGAAATTGAATCTATCCACCAATATACTGGTACATTTGAAAAGTATTAATGACTACCTATCACCTGAGGTCTCACCACCATTGATCCTTACCAATAAATAGGCCCTTCCCTCCCACTCCCCTATTTTACTGACAGAAAAGGAAACACAGAGAAATAGAAATCAGTCCTACAGTGCCAGCAAGTCTATTACAGAATCTGATAGAGAAGAGGGTTTAGGGTTATTTTCTAGGCCAAGAGCCAGAGAAGGGGGTCTTGCACAAGAAGTTAAAATAAATTAGATGAACAAGTGGACCGTCTCTGTCCTTAATATTCACATAAGAGTGTCCTGCGTTAGTTTAGAAAATGACGAGGTTGGCATTCAGGGACAAAAGAGAATTGAGCCAGGCAAGTATGGCTCAGTGGTTGAATGTCAACCTATGAACTAGAAGGTCATGATTTGACTCCTGGTTTTGGGCTCGACTCCCTAGTATAGGAGGCATCCAATCAATGATTCTTTCTTACCATTGATGTTTTTTATCTCTCTCTCCCGACCCCCCTTCCTCTCTGAAATCAATTAAAAATAAACAAACATATTATATATATATTCCTAAAAAGAGAGAATTGAGAGAAATGACATGGGTTGATTTGAGAAAGTTTATTGTATTGAGGAAGAAAGGCAAGCCAGATGGTAGGAAGAGGCTTCATCCTGAAAAACGAATGGGATTCAGAATCACTGCTGTCACTCTCTCTGAACTTAAGCTGTGGAACTGTCACCTCCCCTACCAGACCTGGAGAACACCAATGTGACACTGAAATAGGCTCTTTATTCAATAAACCTTATCTGCTTCTCTACAGGAAGGAAGTGCTATAGTGATAAGACCAGACAACTTGACTTCATGTGAAAGCCACCTCCTTGGTAAAAAAACATACATAAATCCCCAGAAAACCTGAGATCCCCAGAGTACCACCTACCTCTCCATCCAGATGATCTAGCAAAATGCACATGCTGGACATCAGGATGGCTGGGATATGTTCTGCTAGTTCTGTCAAGAAGGCTGCAAAGCCCTTTGCTCCTATAGGGTCCCGACTCAGCTCCTGGGGACACTTCTGTCCAATCTCTCTACACAGGGAAGAAAACACAGCCACAGTAAGATAACTCAATTCCTCAGTAAGAGGAGGTAAGACTAGTATCTAATAGCTGAAGGAATCTAGTATTATACAGAGAATATACTCTACTTCTAATCTTTCTTTATCTTCTCAGAGAGAAACGAGAATTAGAAACTTAGAAGCGAAGAGTTACCTTACAATCTCTCCCACTATGCTCTTCATTCCATAGTCAGTTGCCCATAGACTCACAGCCGCCACCAGTACAGGTGGCAGGTGTTCAAAGTGCTGCAGCATCTGGATGATTTTCACTGTGGCACCTGTGGAAGTACTAAACATGAGAAATTATGGGCAAAATGAAAAGGGTAGGGGCAAGGTGAAGGGCTAACTTACTGAGCATATGGTTGTAATGTGTCAAGGCTACACCAAGCAGGCGTGTTATGGCTTCCCGGGTAGAGCGGTTCTTCTGGTGACCAATGGTGGGGTTCTCCAGAAGGCGGTAACAGCAACCAGTAACCAAACTGAGAAAGGAACAAAGTGAGATGATGAAATCAGTCGTCTGGACTCAATTATATTGGGGGTCTGCCTCATTCATTCTATTTCTACTGCCACTGAAGTCAGGATCTTCTAGTTTTCTTCATTTATCTACAACCTTCCATACCAAGTTGCATTGATTACCTCAGATAGGTACTTGGTCCTTTGAGATTACCAACTTTCAAGATGCCCATACAGAACCTGAATAGGGGTGCTCAAAAGTCCGGTTTACAGTTTGAGTATGTGAAACAGTTTATTTGTGTATTATTTATTAACTAGAGGCCTGGTGCACAAAATTTGTGCAGGGGTGGGGGTGGGGGTGTCCCTCAGCCCAGCCTGTATCCTCGCCAATCTGGAACCTCTAGAGGGATGTCCGACTGCCCATTTAGGCCCTGAAAGGGGCAGTCGGACATCCCTCTCACAATCCAGGACTGCTGGCTCCCAACCGCTTATCTGCCTGCTAGCTCGATCACCCCCTAACCACTCCCCTGCCAGCTTGATTGACGTCTAACTGCTTCCCTGCCGGCCTGGTTCCCCACAATTGTTCTTCCCTACCAGCCTGGTCGCCCCCAACTGCTCTCCCCTGCAGGCCTGGTGGATCCCAAATGCCCTCCCCTGCAGGCCTGGTCCCTCCCAACTGCCCTCCCCTGCTGGCCATCTTGTGGAGGCCATCTTGTGCGCACATGTGGGCAGCCATCTTGTGTGTTAGAGTGCTGGTCAATTTGCACATTACCTCTTTATTATATAGGGTTATGGCACTATTTACCATACAAACAACTATACACCTACTTTGCCCAGTCCTATATATGATAAAAGATAGGAAAAATTCACCAGTGACTTCTCATTGTTAAATGTAAGTCAATTCAGTCCTCAGCTTAATTGATCACTCCTTTCTCCAAAAGAAACATGCTTCACATGGCTTCCTGAACACTAGACTCTCCTCTCAGTTTATTTGTCTGGTCCCTTCTCATCACCCTACCTTCTTAATGCTTAAGTGTCCCAGGGTATAGTCTGGATTTCTGCTCTATTGTGGCTACTGACTGATTTAGTAATCTCATTCAGTCTTATGGCTATAAAAACATATATTCCCAAATGTGTGCCTCTAGGCCACACCTCTCTCCTGTACTCCAGATTTGTACATTCTACATCTGAATCTGACATTTTGATATCTAATAAGCACCTAAAACATTGTATGTCTAAAACATAACTTCTAATGGTCTTCCCCAAAACACCCCCCCATAGACTCCCCATATTTCAGTTACAGACAATTCCATTCTTCCAAATGCTCCGATTTCATCATCCTCCCTCAAACTTCACATACATCTGTCACTCATCTTGTAAGCTCTACATTTAAGAAAAAAAGTATGAACTACAACCACTTCTCTTCATCTCCACTAACACTGTCTGGTCTAAATTATCATTATTTCTTGCCCAAGTTATTGCATTAGACTCCTAACTGGTCATGCACTTCTCTCCCTCCATAGTCTGTTTCAACACAATAGCCAAAACAGCCCTGTTAAAGACCAAGTAAGAACACCTGTTGTCCTGCTCAGAACCCTTGCCTTGAGGAATCCCATCTCATGGAGAAAATGCCAATTACCATGATGGCTTACAAGCATCTGCACAGTTTGGCTCCAACTGCCCCCCCCCCCCCCCCCTATAACCTATCCCTCTCTCTGGCCTCATTGCTAATCCTTGTACATCTGGACACCTCCCTCCTCAGGGGCTTTGCCCTTGCTCTTCCTCCAGATCACATGTGTCAAACACAAGGCCCTCGGGCCAAATCCGTCCCGCCAGGCCTTGCAATGTGGCCCGCACTGTCATCACTGCACTCTGCTGCGTTTCCATCACAATGACAGTTTATGACTGTTCAGTAAACCATTCGGCCCGCGATTTAGGCTGGATTTTAGATTTTGGCCCCTTCTCTGATTGAGTTCGACACCCCTACTCCAGATAGTCTCACTGCTCTGATGACCTCCTCCGGGTCTTTGCTCAAATGTCACTGAGTCAAAGAGATCTTGCCAGAACGACTGAATTAAAATCACAACCGTCTTCCATTAAATGTCCCCCCCCCCCATTTTTCTCCATAGTAATAAAGCATAAAAATAATATATATTCTTCTTATTTTAAAAATTGGCTTCTGCTCTATAAAACAAACTGAGGGCAGAAACTTTTGTTTCTGGTGCCTATCATGATACTAACTATGCACCTAGGAGATTATCAGTAAATAATGTTTCATGAATGAATATGCGGGTATTTAAGATGAGAAATTAAAAAAAAAAAAAAAAGATTAGAAATTCACAGCCCTAACATTATCTACTTCCTAATAACTTAATGTTTTGAGTATATTTCTTTTTTAAAAATATATTTTATTGATTCTTTACAGAGGAAGGAAGAGAGATAGAGAGCTAGAAACGTCAATGAGAGAGAAACACCGACCAGCTGCCTCTTGCACACCCCCTACTGGGGATGTGCCCACAACCAATGTACATGCCCCTGACTGGAATCGAACCCCGGGACCTTTCAGTCCGCAGACCGACACTCTACCACTGAGCCAAACTGATTTCGGGTTGAGTATATTTCTATATTACAGATACAATTGAGGCATGAAGTAAAGTAGGTCCAGCAAAAGAGCCCTCATTCCACAAAGCTCAGTATTATCTGTAGTCGTTTTAACTGCCTACCTCACAAATTCCTCTTCAATTATTGAGTGGTTCCATAGGTGACGAATGTCCAACTGGAGGAGCTGTGTTAAAAGCTGAAGAATTGGTTGCCTCTCCTCTTCCCAGTCAAAGCCATGGGCTGACTTGGCCCTGGCTTTCTTGCCCTAAAAAAGATCATGTATACCTTTAGGAAAAAAGTCAAGACCTGCTAGTCTGAGTGCCTAAGCTAACCAGTATCGAGACAAGATAGAAGGTAATACGGAAGAGGTATGTCGTGATACTTTTGAGCATAAACCCTAAGAACAGGAAGGAGTTTCAGAATCATTAGATTTCCTTCTTTCCTATCAATTCACCATCTTTCCTATTAAATGAGCCAGGAACTCCAAGTTACCTTCCCAAGGTCCAGGTCCACGAGATTTGTCCGGGTGGTCATAGTCTCAAAGGATTCCAAGAGGCGTACCAGAGCATAGCAGTTCATTTTGAGGGCATTTAGGTGGGCACTTCTATCTGATACACTCAAAGTTGCATCATCGAGGATAGCTGGAAGTTCCTGAGCATGGCGGGATACCACTGTGAGGGTCAGAATCGGAGTCAGTTTTATTCCCTTTCCTCATAGTACCCCAACTTCTAAACACCCTGCACTTGCAGCCATCAGATTACCAAAGATCTGTGTTTCATTTCTCAGTGGCCACAACACAAGCTAAGTCCTTTAGGACCCTTGACCCTAATACCATGAACATGCCTTGTCCCTCCCTACTCACTCCAGTTACCACAATTTCTTCCTGGCAACTGGGAAGAAATTATCTCCACGAAAGAGATAATTCTTCAAAAGCAGGAAGAATTTCTTGTTGGTCTGCCCTTACAGTGAACACACATAACTCTGTATTGCCCACCAAGATTACAGACCTAATAGGTCAAAGGTCCTTGGGCTTAGCCAAACCAACTGAATCACCATAGCCTTGATATCATCATGTGGCTGGTAAAATGTAGTAAACAACAACCAACACCTTCTATTCCATACTTGCCCCCTGACCCCATACACACCTTTTATCAGGAATTCCAGGGCATCTTCCTTGAGGCCAGGATCTATACTTCGAAAGTGACTATGAAGGAAAAAAAGTGCAAGGGTTGAGACAGAAACTTGCAGAGCCCATTCTAACAGATCAGATCTAACTTGAAGAACCTAATGGCTAAAAGTACATGCGAAATTGCTCAACTGAAAAAATATGGTAGCAAATATGGTAGTTGGTGTAAATGCTCATCAGTAGATATATCAGCACCCAGAACAATTAAAAAAAATATTTTTATTCACTTCAGAGAGGAAGGGAGATAGAAACATCAATAATGAGAGAGAATCATTGATCGGCTGCCTCCTGCACGCCCCACAATGGGGATTGAGCCCGCAACTCAGGCATGTGCCCTTGACTGAATCGAACCTGAGACCTTTCAGTCCACAGGCGGATGCTCTACCTGCTGAGCCAAACCAGCTAGGACACACCCAGAATAATTTATCAATGAACATAATTTAAAATTTCAGGACTAACATGCAAAGTTAGTTCAAACAGCCACCAGTTCTTTTAAAAACACCAGTGAGTACTTTACTTACTGAAGAATGCTGTATACAGTATCAAAGTGCTCCAGCATAGCCAGGGGTCCCTGAGCTCGGAAGGCAGTCTGAAAAGCTATAAAGATGAAAGAATCTGATCAGTACAGAGAGGAGAGGCGCTTTTGGTAAATTCTATTTATGTCAGAAAACTGAGTTAATTGCTTTTATTGGCAAAATCACAAAATAGTTCATTTCAATGTAACCTATTATAATAATACTAGAGGCCCATGGCACCTTCACCTGGCTGCCAGCACCGGTTTTCCTCAGGCACCCAGGACCCAGGCCTTTGCTCCGGCAGCTCCCTCTGACCCCTGACCTCTTCCTCACAGCAGGCGTTCTGCCCCACCCAGCTGGTTGGCACCTAGAGCGGCTGCCTAATCTTTGTCCTGCTAATTTGCATGGCCCCTCCTGATTGGCTGCTGGAATCATGGAGGTATGGTCAATTTTACATATTTCTCTTTTATTAGTGTAGATCTTACATTTTGTCCTGTTTTACAAGTAAAGCTTTACTTGAGTTTCATCGTATTTCTGAGCTAGACAAAGTAGACAGTATTATGTCTATTTCATGGGAAAAGAAATGGTCAAAAAGGAGTTATGTGACCGGTCCAGCTTACAATAGTTAGTAGTGAACTAATTTTAATTTAGTAATTATAAAAGCGGCAAAACCAGCACAGAGTTCCTGTACTTTCTTCCTAGATAATGGTCACTTAGTATAAAGATCTATTCTAAACCAAGAAATAAACATTAATTCAATGCTATTAATTAATCTACAAATCTTATTTGAATTTTTCCAGTTGTAGCAATGCCCCCTTTCTGGTTCAGGATTCTATCTGGCAAACCACAGTGCATTCAGTTATTGTCTCCTTAGTCTCCTCTAATCTTTCTTTTGTGATTTTGACAAATTTGAAGTGTACTAACCAGTTATTCTATAGAATGTCCCTCACTTTGGGTTTGTCTGATATTGTCTCATGATTAGAGTGAGGTCAGATTAATTTGCATTTTTGGCAAATTACCATGGAAGAGAGGTTGGGTCCTTCAGATGCATCATACAAAGAAGTATTTGATGTCAATGTCTTAGTATTGCTGATGATAACTTTGATTACTTAGTGTTTGTCAAGTGTCTCCACTGTAGAGTTACTATTTTACCCTTTGCAAATAAGTATCTTGTGGGGAGATACTTAGAAACTATGTAAATACCCTGTTTCTTATATTTGCCCACTAATCTAAACATCTATTAATAATAATTATTATTGCAGTATTTTCTAAATGGTGACTTTTCTATCTCCATCATTCCTTCTACACTTACTAATGGGAATGCCACTATGAGGCTGACCTATGCTTTTCTCCTCATTTATTCATTCAATTATTTATTTATATCATAGTGGATTCATGAATATTTCTTTTATTCTGCTTAATCCATTCCTATTACTATTGGTCAAATCATCCCAAACTTGACTATTGGTAGTTCCTTCAACTTGGCCTGTGTCCTGACATGGCCCCTTCACTTGTACTTTCATAATTTTTTGTATCACATGATGTTCCAGCTCATCTTATACTTTCACCGACTCTGTTCTGGCATCAACATTCTCAACAATTCTGGTTCCTCTTTTGGGAGAATGGTAGGTAGAAAGCAAGTTATAGGCACTAGTTGGCTTACTGCTATTGAAATATCATTGTTTTTAGACCCTCTCAGTAGAAAAAAGTAGGACACACACACACACACCTTTTTTTACCTATCTATATTAAACACATGAGTTCATTTATTTATTAGCTTAATTAATCTAGTATACACACAAAGCAGTTTCAGAATTACTAACACACACCTTATAAAAAATAAATTTACTGCCCTGGCTAGTGTTCTCAGTGGTTAGACATTGGACCACACAACCAAGGGTGGCAGGTTCAATTCCCGGTCAAGGGCATGCACTTGGGTTGCAGGTTGGATCCCAGGCCCTGGTTGGAGCAAGTGTGGGAGGCAACCAATCAATGTTCTCCCTCACATTGATGTTTCTCCCTCCCTCTAAAAATCAATGGAAAAAACATCCTCAGGTAAGGATGAACAAACAAGCAAATAAAAACCCCCACCAAAGCAACACAAACAAACACTCCACCATGCTGGCTATTCTCTTTAAACTTATAATTTACTAGAGGCCTGATGCATGAATTTGTTTACAGGTGGGGTCTAGCTGACAGGCAGAGATCTGGCTGACTGGCTGGTGGGGGTGGAGGGGCAGGTGATGGGCCAGCTCTGCCCTTTGGCTGAACTCCTGGTTGAGGGGACAATTTGCATACTAGCCTTTTATTACCGTATTTTTCGGACCATAAAACGAGCTTTTTCCCCCCCAGAAGTGGGGGGAAAAAGTCCCTGCGTCTTATGGTCCAAATATAGCCTACACATATATTTAAAAAAAAAAGTTTTTTTACTTGCCCAGCTCTGTGTGGTCTCTGTGTGCTTGCCCGGCTCTAAAATGGTTC